TGTATTCTAGTTTTTGTTTATATATTAACTGAATTTAATAATTATATGATAATTTTATTAGATGCAAAGCTTTTTATTGCTACAAGCTCCCGTAAGATATTCTCCGTGTGGATATAGACACAATGGTCAGCCAATACCATGCCGCGGAAGATGAGGTGTTATCTTCGAATTTCTACTAAGTGATATTAAATAAGTGAATAAAATGGGGAAATTAAAAATTAGTTTTTGTTTGAATTACATTTAGACGATATTTAATTTCCAATTGAAATGATCACAAAGATTAGCAAGAGTCCCCGATTTGATAAAGACATCGATCTTAATATGTTATCATAAAATTTTTAAACCTATTTGGGTAATGGATTTATTGATATTCATTTAGATATAATTATGACAAATAAATCAGAATTTATTGCAGAAGTGTGTTGAATGTTATAAATAAATTTTACAAATTCTTAGTAAACAGGTTCTGTACATGACTGCATATAGTATGTAATTTTTTTGAAACCAATACTCGTATAGCTGTTATCAATTAGAAAGTACGAATCATTTGACTTTTGTGCTGCTTATTCATTAAATGCCGACCAGCCGCATCAGTTCAACAAAATTATACAAACGAATAAGATATGCAGTTATCAAGGTTCCGACACATTCTTCAATTTCTAATTGCTGTCTTTGTATTCATAATTGCAAATAAGGAATATAAAGTACTGGCTCAATCACAAACTGGAGATGAACCACCAAGTCCACAATTAATTTAATTTTAATTTAATTTATCTTTATTTACTTTGTAATTGAAGCCAAATTACAATTTAATGGCCAATTTATGTATAATTACAAAGAATCCACCTTATATCATAGCTACTCTAAAACAAATTCTTATAAATATAATATAATAAATATTTTAAACATGTTTAAATCTGCATTACATCATGACTACTCAAATATATCCACTTTTAAACAAGTTATTATAAATAAATGATGTTAACACTAATAAAACATTATGAATGTAATTATGCAGATGCATTTTAAAAAACTTCGTGACATCATGGCTACTCAAATTACCATTAAGAGAAGATGCAAGTATTGAAATTTTTAGTTTAGAAAAAATACGAAAATACATAGTTGTTATAACATTAAAATTAAAAAATATTAATTTGTATCTTTATTTAATTTTTTTGTTTTTAGCGCAAATTATATTCAACAATTTTCAAAATTCCGGAACAAAATATTTGCGGGTATAAACATAATGGAAAACCTATTAAGTGTTAATGTCTCTCACAATGGACGTGTCGTGAAATTGCCTACGCGTTTTATTATTGTTTCATTGATTTTTATGATTTGTAAAATTTTTAACCCTTTCAGTGTTTTTGTCGAATATATTCGACATTTAAAAATACTCTCTTTCTTTGCCATTTTCCGGTTATCCTATGTACCGTTACTATTGTTGTTTTTGTTTTTGCTGAAAGACAGACGAAACTGTCTGATGATTAAAATGACAATTGCTATTTTTTCTAAACTATGCCCCTTTATATGATTTTAAATACAAAATTTTAGATTTTTATTCCGACAAAAAATTTTATTGACACTGAAAGGGTTAAATTAAGTGGAAATGCCTTAGACCACCTAGTGTTAATGTTAAATTCTGGACCATTTAAAAATATTTTGTACATTTTATTCTTTAAAAATATATTGAAGATCCAGTTAATGCTACTGAAAGTGTAACCAAAAAATATTTATAATTCAAGTTTCTTGTTTTTAAATTAGGTTGGGGAAAAATAAACCCATTTTTTTCGTCGAAAATGTCGATAAAATCGGAGAAATGATCGAAGTTGACCGGCATATAAAACACCGTTTTAAATTATTTACACAAAGCTGGATTCAAAAAGAAGCTCGATGTTTGGGAGCTACACCAATTAACAGAAAAACATAGGATGAATCGAATTTCAATCTGCGAAACCTTGGCCAAACGGAATAAGATAGACCCATTTCTTAAACGGATGTTGGCTGGAGAAATGGATCACATACGATAACCCTGTGCGAAAACGATCGTGGTCAAAGAGCGGTGAAGCAGCTTAAACGCTGCTATGCATTTGATGGGACTGGAAGGGGATTATTTATTATAAGTTGGTTCCATACTGGACCGTTTAAAAATAGAAATTGACCAGAATTGGCCAACAGGAGAGGGTGTCGTGTTCCGCAAGGACAACGCTAGACCACACACATCTACGGTGACTCACCAGAAACTTTGGAGCTTGGTTGGGAAGATTTAATACATCCGCCATACAGTTGGGACATGGCACCAAGCGATTATCATCTTTTTCTTGCATTTCAAAATTTCTTTAATGAGCAGGACTTCTATGAGAGAGGCATTATGAAGTTACCTTTAAAACGGCAACAAATCACTCTCAGTCCGAAGGTTTTGTAAAATTCGTGCTAGAACCGCACGAAAAATACTAAATATGGTACCATTTGTATTTGGCGAACCGGTAGATACTCGAATTGAGGGTCATTGATGGATTGTACAATATATGTACCAAAGGGTTTTGGAAATTCGAATTATAAATATGCGAAAAAGTGCTACATTTGTTAAAATGTTTAAGCACGTGAACGGATAGAGTTAAAAACACCAAAATCCAAATTGGTACAATTTGGATTTGGGCGAACCGATAGAGCTGGAACACTGACATTTTGAAATTCGATTACTGTTGGAGTGTAGGGTTGGTGTATGGATGTAGTTTTGGAAATTCATAATTATAAGTACGAAATGATACTAAATTTGAATTTTGGCTAAATCGATAGAGCTGGAAGCTTATAATTTGAAATTAAGATTACCGTTGGCGTGTAGGGTGAAGCTATTGGCTGGAATCCTGATATTGGGAAATATGACTTCTATTGAATTGGATATATTAATGGTAAGAATTTTTGTCAAATTAAAATATAGAGTTCGAATCCGGAAATGTTGAATTAGCTTTGTGATAAATGCTACAAGAGTATGAGAGGAAACAAATGGTACTAAAATTAGCATTGAGCTAGATTTCTGTTGTGGTCAAAATTGGCGTGTGGTGTTGAGCTATAGAGGTAGTTTTGGAAATACGTACTATAAAGGGGCAAAGGAACTAAATGGTACTAAAATTGTACTTATGGTCAATATTGATGTGTAGGATGATTATCTCTGACATATGCAGTTATTTATTTAGATTTTGTATTTAATGTACGTTAAAATCGATTTGAATTTTTTGAAAATTTGCAAACGACCGACAAATGTACGTACATTATTTTAATGACTTCTAACGTTGCATATAGGGGCCGTTAAAGTATTAAGAAAGCAAATTTATTGCAATCGAAGATATGGAGTGATCAGTTTTGCTGGCGACCTTAATATACATGAATAGATCGCTTCATATCTTGATTTGTAGCTATTAGACAAATTTCGTGATTTCAAAAGTAAACTTACATTAAATACATTTTTCATGATATATGTATATTTAGGGTATAGAACTATGTTCTAAGGGTACTATAGCATTGTGTGGCCAAAGAGTTTGTAATGCCGCGAAATATTGGTTCTAGGCCCACTTTTTGGTATATCGATCGTCATACCTCGACTAGCTGAGTCGATCTAGACATGTGTCGCTGCCCGTCTGTCCATTATAATAACACAATACAGACCAAAGTTATGGACCAATCGTCACGAAATCTTGCATGTAGGACGGGTCCTGGTCAAAGATGATCCATATTGTTTTTGATAATGAACGGGTAATATTTAGGGTATGAAATGCACCAAAAATTTTATTTTTGTCTGGTCGCTCTAGAGAAACACCAGAGAATTCAACGTGGGGAAGGGGATTTAACCAATGAATAAGCAAACTAACTTAGGCGTGGATTTGATAAAGATCAGTTTCTATTTAGGATGTCAAATGGACCCATACTTTGTGTGAAATAATGACAAAATTTGTATTCTGCGAAGTTGATAATATATTAAAGAGGAGTGGTTGAACTTTAAATTGAGACCACGTTTTTGTTGTATGTACTTGGATGTTTGAGTTATAGGTAAATAGTATATGATATTGTTTAGTATTACTATTACCCCACTAGAGGGCGATAATGTCGCACTGATTGATTCAGAATTATATTAGGTTGGGAAAAAATAAATCCATTATTTTTATATGAATTATAGGTCTTTACTCATACATACTTCGGAATGTCCAATTTGGGCCAAATATGTACCGGTTTTTTTATTATTTAAGGTATTTTAAAGATAACTTCATAATACCTCTCTCATAGAAGTCCTGCTCTCTACTTGCAACTACCTCGATTGAGGTGCTTCACCGCTCTTTGACCACGATCGTTTTTGCACAGGGTTATCGTATGTGATCCATTTCTCATCTCCAGTCCCAATCCCTTTAAGAAATGGGTGGTTAATTGGTGTGGCACCCAAACATTGAGCTTGTTTTTGAATCCAGCTTTGTGTAAATGGTCTAAAACAGTCTTATGGTCAATTTTTAGCTCCTAAGCGATGTTACAACTGCTAACATGCCGGTCAACTTCGATAATTTCTCCGATTTTATCGACATTTTCGACGATCGGCCTACCTGTACGAGGTGCACCTTTAACATCAAAAATTCCTGATCGGAAACCAAGATTGCACATAATTGGCTGTTATAGTATCGGAACCATGAACACCATTCACAATATTCAAAGAAAAGAATTTTTCAAAGAAAAATTATAAAATGTACCGAATTTTTTCTTTGTTCACTTCCATTTTAACACCCTGTAACTCACAACTGAATGTACCAAACAAAAAACAGGAAAATAATTTTGATTACTGCAAAATGTCAACCTTCCAACGAGCAAAAATATGAAATTGTTTGATCGATACTTTACAAGAAATCTATTAGTACGAAAAAATAATGGCTTTGTTTTTCCCCAACCTAATAAAACGATGTAGGGTATAACGATGTTCGTCATCTCCCAAACATACAAAATTACTAGACATTACAATAATGACCTATAACAATACAATAAATAATCAGTCATTTACCCCGAAAATGCGTCGTGCTCTCATTCAGACATGGTACGGCCCTGAAGTAAGTATAAGAGAACGGAAATAGACATATCAATATTGAAAAAATAAACAACAAAACAAAAAACAATCTTTACTTTTATACAAATGGAAAAATATATAACAATTTTATTTTATTTTACAACTCAATTTGAGTATATAATCGTTTTTTAAATAGACCACACAGAAATGGTACATAGAAATTACTTATAAGTTACACTTAATCTATTTTTTCAATACTATTATCGATTCTAAAAAACTAATCATGCTTAGCATCTAAATTTCAAATTATAAACGCTGCGATATAAACACACACACACACACTCGTCGTTTGTGATAACGATGATAATTGTGATTTGGAATAATCACATCCAGCCTTTGTTGTCATCGTCGTCGACGTGATCTTCGATTTGCGTTTCAATTCGCTGCTTGATTTCGAAAACAACGTCGGGGTTTGCCTTTGTGTGTTAAGCCGCAATAGACATAACGACTTCGCACGGTCAAAATCATGGGACTCAATTTGCGCGATTTATGATTGGCCTACAGAGACAAGAAAAAGAAAAATGACAATGGACCCTCAACAACAATAACACGAATATGTATAGAATTCCATTACAAAAGAATAATATTGTTTTTGTTGTTATTGTGATTTTGAAATCACCATTCATCACACTCTCACCTTGGACAAGACTCGATGCCGCGATTTAATAAATTCTGTATTGACAGATTTTGTTTGGCCGCAGATCATCAGGGATGTCACCAAGATCAGCATTAATAAGATGGCCCCGAAATGCATTTTTGAAGATTTCTATTTTCGATTTTTGTTTTTGTTTATATTTAGGATAAATATATATTTCGGTGTATGTTTTTTGGTTTTGTAATTGTAACACTACTTAAATACGAATTTTAGCGAGTAAATAAATGAACCATAAAGTTTTACAGTCAGCCCACAACTGATAAGAATTTTTGCCCGAATAATGTTGACTACTGTGGAACGAATGGAGTGGATAGATGGGTGGATGGATGGATGTTTGAGTGGCTGGCTGCCGGACTGACTGGATGGATGAATACATTGGCTTGTTGTTAATGATGATGAGATGGTTGGTGATATGGGAATCATTTTTACATTGAGATGTTTACAAAACAAAAAATAAAAATAATAAAAATAACAACAAAAAATATTTCCATCCATTTAAATAAAAATATGATCTTCTAGAATATACATATATATTTACATACAAACAACAACATCCATTATAATGTATTTTCTTTATCACAACAAAAATTTATGAATGAATGGATATATGAATTGTGATATGGTATGGTGGACAGTTGTTGTTGTTCTGGCTGATAAATCTCTCACTCTCCATCAAATGTGAATTGAACTCACTTAGAGCCTAGATTAAACTAATTGTATGTAAAGTTTACATTCGATCATATCAGGAATAAAACTGCATATATTGCCGATATTCTTAACATCTCTTTCGACGTTTGCCATTGTGTGTATAGCCGCAGGGTGCTGGTCGTTGGGGTGCGTGAAATATTGACATTTGTCGCACATGTCGTATAGACGGTGAATTCTGAAAGGAAATTAGGAATATGATTTTTTTTTTTTTGTTTCCTGGAATATTTATCATACTATAGAACGTAAACTGACCAAAGCTCTATACTATATTCAAACGGGGTCGACCAAATAATTAAGCAGCATATTTTACTTGTCCAGTAGATATTTTTTTATAATCTGGTTCAAAAATTTAGTAAACTGGATCTGACTGTCGCGAATAAATGTTATATGTATGTTTGGCTTAATGAGACCTTTAAAATAGTATCTGAAAGTTTTTATGATCTAACAATTTTACCAATTTTTTTAGTGTACATCGATGCAAGGTTTTCTGACCAAGGATCGGGAAAGAGGGAATAAGAACGATAAAAACATAGGAATAGCGATTTGTTGTCTCCAAAGAAAACCCTATGAATAAAAATTGTGAACCACAGTTTTTAGAATAATTGGATGTACAAATGTGATGAGGTCCATTCTGGGTTAATGTGCAAGCAAGTAAAATTGTGGCATTTGTCATGAGGCGCTACGTAAAGAGATTTATACACAAAAAAAACTTAGTGTATGATTTGTTGGTATATTGAATCATCGGTCCACATTTCTGAAAAAAATCATGAAGTTAAGAACCTAACAGTTAGTGGCAACGATTTAGAGTGTGAATTTGGCCTGACGGGAGGTCGCCTTGTTTCTAAACTGCTTACTTAGACCATAGTAGAGTAGCATATGTTGGCCAACAACACTATCCTTCTACGAATTTCAAAACTGATGTCATTAGTTTTATTTATGGCGGTACCAAGGTATATAAAATCTTTCACTACCTCGAAGCTGTAGTTCTCAAGTTCCACAGTTTGTCAGAGCCTTCAAGATGTCTTGCGCGTTGATACCATCGGCTTAGTCTTCTCGCCATTTACTGCCAGACCCACTTTGACAGATACCATCGGCTTAGTCTTCTCGCCATTTACTGCCAGACCCACTTTGGCAGACTCCTTCTCAATTTGTCCAAATGTGGCTTTTAACGCCCGCAGTGCTCGGCCCATTATGTCGATGTCATCGGCGTATGCGAATAACATGTGTTGTTTGGTGTACAGAGTGTCATTTCTGTTCACATTTTCAGCAGAATGTTAAAAAGGTAACACGACAAACTGTCACCTTATTCGAATCTTCATTCGGCATTGAAGGGCTCCGAGAGGTCCCTTCCGGTTTTAAAGTTAAACACCTCTGATCGCATTGTGCAGTCGAATGCGGTTTTGTAGTCGTCGAATAGGTGTTTTTCGTGGGTCTTTTCCAGGATTTGACGCCGAGTGAAAATCTGGTTAATTGTGGATTTTCCAGGCCTGAAGCCCCCGGTCCAATAATGTCATTGACCATTTGCTTCAGTCATACCCACAGCACACTGGATAGCACATTATATGCGATGCGTCTTATCTCCTTCTTTTGTGTACAGGACACATAACGCTGAGGTTGATTGGGCATGTATTCCTCTAGCCAAATTGTACTAATCCGCTGGTGTATGCTCCTGACCAGCATCTGACACCGGGTTTGAATAGATCGGTAGTTAACCCATCGGCACCTGCTGCTTTATTATTCTTTAGCCGATTGATTGCTATTCTGACCTCATTTTGGCTTGGTGATATACTCTCTATATCGTCATCTCCTATTGGTTCTGATGCATCTTCTTCGCAGCCACTATTTGATACTAGAAGCTTTGCAAATGGCTCATTCCAGATCCTCAACACACTATATGTATCTGACACCAGGTTTCAATCTTCATCTCTACAGGAGGATGTGCCTGGACCAAAGCCTTCGGTTTGGTGTTTTACTCGTTGGTAAAATTTGCGGACTTCGTTCTGACTCCTGCACATCTCGAGTTGCTCTCGCTAATGTTTTTCTTGTTCATTCCTCTTTTTTTCTGAAAAAACGTTTCTCGTCTCTCCTTTCCTCCCGATTATTCCCTTTCACATTACGTGCCCTATAAATTGGAAACTACCCCACATATATTCTCTGAAGGATCACTCTATGCAAATTTTAGTAAATAATATTAAACTGGGTAAAATTTTTTTGATCGATCGAATGGAGCTACAGATATAAAGTTAGTCTGTAAAATTGAGGTAAGTGGATCGATATTGAAATGGAAAATTTGGCTTGAGGTCAACGCAAGGGTGTGTAACCCATCCAAAAATATTCAGAACACGTTATACCAACAGAAAAATAGGTATAACAGGTCTTGATTTTTTAAGATTTTTTTAGAAGTATTATTGGCGCGAATTTTTATACCCTCAGCCTCATGACTAATGCATTGACTTACACATGTCAGTTTTTGTGTCGGTTTGGAAGATGGGAAATATCCACTCCCACAAAAGTTGTCGATAATGCGAACGGAGTATCCAATTTGAACAAACCATATATTTGAATCAAGCCTGTAAAATGATTGAATGTAATACCAAACGGTCCACCCATTCCAGTACCTACTTCCAAAGTGTCAACATTTTCAGAATTTTTAAATCTCCTATAAATCGAACAGATTATAAAATTTCATGATTATGTCGAAGATTGTGTGGTGCGCTCCTTGGTCCGAAGTTGTGATGGAACTTTACTTCTTCGAAAATGTGACCGTCAATCGTATCCAGCTACTAAAGAATAAGACTTAGAGAATATGTGGTTTCAACAAGGCGGTGTCACATAACTCTAGCGAAAATAGCTTCACTGCAGAATACTTTCAACATTTATCACTAATAGAATTCTTCCCGAAAATAAGTAAACCAGCCCACTAATTTTTAACATTTCCGCGTTTGGGCTCGTAGACGTATACTGTATTTTTATATGTAATATTATTAGCACTTTACAATTTTCATATCTGATCGCTAATTATTTCAATTTCACGTAACGCCTTTTTCGATTCCTCCTATATATTATTTTCTATATCTTTGGAAAATATACCTACGCTTTAGATCGACCCATTTGGTACGACGCCAGGCTTTGATTAATTTGAATTACGTTCTATTAATTCGAATCGATGTATTTCCTTACATCGACACTTTGATCTTACCGGCACTATATCGAATTGCTGTGTTAGTATGTCTTGACCAAAACACGCGATTAGCATTGTAAAAAATAATGCAATTATGATTTGTATTGAAAGACTTGTAAAACGCATGCTGTCTGATTAAGAATATGCACGAGACTGATGCGGATTTTAAAATTTCTGTAACATTATTCATCATGGAATATAAAAATAAATATTCATTTTTTTTATTAAATAGTGTATAGAGGTTAATGGATTTTAACCCCTTCGATTTTAAAAAGAGATAAGGCATCGTTGGCGGCATTTTGGTTTTTATTAATTGTTTTCATGTTAAAAAAAGTGTGTATGTGTGTTGACTAATCATCAGAGGTTTTTTCTGTTATGAGATGGAAATAAATACATTTATAATATATATATATATATAAGAGTAAAGACAAAGCATTCC